TTATCCATCCGACATGGCCTCTACATAGTTTAACCGATCATTTCGTGTACTGTGACTGCCTTGTATATATATATATACACATCTGTTTTTTGTGCGGGCAAACGTCCTATGTGCGATTGGCATGTGGTACTTTCCGGATGAACTTCGCATCCCTGGCAGCCGCACGGAGGCATTCTTGCAGAGCGGGCAGATCACCTTCCAACAGCTGCACCTCGGCTCGGCCAGTGCAAGATGAAACGTTTTTTTGCCTAGGCGCCTTCACTGCATGGACAAGTGCTTCAGCAAGAAGGCTTAGGATCCATTCCGAGCGATTTGAGCTGCTCATTCGCAACGGCCCACTAAGGAAGGATTTTCTGATGGCACCCTTGTCCTCGCGCCCTTCGAGTGCAGCATCGTCGCGTCTCTCTGGCCGAGCCAGCTAACAGGTGCTGGCTTGGAAAACATGCTTCGGCCTTCCTATGATCCCTGTGATTCCAGAGGTGCCGTCCTGACTCGACATCATCCTGTGGAGCCATAGCATTAAGAACGTGGTGCTATCCAGGTAGCAGCCTCATGACAAGCCAAGAAGCAACTCTCCCTGTACGTCAGCAATTCCTTCGCGGTTAGGCTCCTGGTTTGTGTCTGGAGCGTGGGACCTAGAGTCACAACGTGCCATGGAAGCCATTCAGAATTGATGCGTTCGGTGAGTTCATGTCTTTGTGTGAAGACTCTGCAGGGCCCTCAGAAATATGTGCGGCGGTAATGTGTCACAACTTGGTGCCAAATAGTCCTCGATATGCGCTTCTCTGTCCCTCTGGTATGGTTCCCATCCGGGGATGAGGCTAAGCCCACGGACCGTGAACTCTCTGTAGCCTCTCTAAACCTTTATGGCAGCAACCAATCGCAGGCCTGTGTATGAGCCTCCAAATGACACTTTGTAAAACCTTTACATACCGTCGCAAGATGTTTGGCCCTGTATAAACTTTCTTTCTATACAAGGCTAGGAAGCCCAGTTTTTTCTCTACAACTGTTATGAACCCCGTAGAACCCTCTATCTTTACAAGCTACGCATGGAACTCTATAAATCCTTCAGGAACCCTGCAGTCTAGAGATTCCTCGGGAAATTTCTTGAACCTTTTTTAAGCCTGCTATACAACCCATAAAGCCTCTGTGAACCTCCATTAAAACGTATAGAAACCCTGTATAAGCAAACACAATCAACCCCCTAAACATTTAGACAACAGCAAAACACCCAGACGCCGGAACACAGGGGAGACTAGGTTAATCATATTCTTTATGGAGCGCATGTTTTGTTGAGACTTTTTTTGTGCCTTTTTTTTAGGGTGGCCCTGGCGTGGAGCGTGTTCTAATTTGTGTTTTTTCAGTTGTTTTAATCATTTTTCTATCGTTTTCATATGTTTTTTCATCATTCTCATGATTTTTTAGTCATTCCTCATCATTTTCTATTATTATTCTATCTTTTTTGTTATGATTTTCATCGTTTTCTATCATTTTATCATTTTCAATATGTTTCATCATGTTCATCATATTCCATCATTGCATCACTTATTTGGCTTCTTGGCTCATTGGCTTTCTGGCTTCTTCGATTTCTGGCTATGCGGTTAATCGCTTTCTGTACTTTCTTGAAGTAGTAGTAGTAGTAGTAGTAGTAGCAGTAGTAGTAGTAGTAGTAGGAGGCGTCCCCCCCTAGGGACTACACTTTACTTAAACTGGAATATGATGGGAAAGGGGTGGGGGGGTAGTTCCGTGCTGAGGAAGTTGAATCTTGAGGCAACAACTCGTGGGATGTGCACTTTGGAAGGTATAGGGATTATAGCATTAGGGGTTTCTGTGGCCTATGATCCACGCAGGAAGTTCTTCGACCGGT